AAATAACCAGAACATGTGGGCTAGCTAAATAGCATTTGAAAAGTCTCAATGAACAGTGAAAATTATAGGAGATAAAAAGACCAAAATTTGGTATTTTGTTCTGGAGAAAAGGTGTTAGTATTGTTACATTGTCTCTAGGGAACCGGTAAAAGAAAATTTGACTGGATTTTATTAAATTGGAAAGAAACTCAATGATGTGACTTATACAATGAGTACAACAGACATGAGGTAAAATCAGTGAGTGTGACATGTTAATATGTTAAAGTAATTCTATGACTGGGAGGAAACACCAAACATTAACACATTTACAGTGGTGAAAGAAATAGGGATTGAAATAAAAATATCTGGACAATTTGAGAATGAAACAGAAATTGAAAATTCTGAAGTTGATCCTGGACTAATCAAATTAGATAATAATTGGAAGTGCTTAAAAAAATTAGAATGTTTTGCTATCTCCCATAAATCTAACAAAATTACTACAAAAGCCATACAGTTTCATGGATTGGTTTGTGTAAATAGGCTGGGAGAAACACCTTTGGCTATACATGGTGAAAAAAAATAAGGAGTGTGTCATCCATTAAAAAAAACTTGACAGACTCAATCCAGAGAAATAAACTCAAGCGAGGGAAGAAATTGACTTTGTGATGGACAATGACCTTATTGAACCAATATGATTCCAACAGAGGATTTTTTTGGAAGTTTGTTTTGAATATCAGTGCTGTAATGGCTCCTTTCACAAATGTACTACAGCAAAGCAAGAAATTTGAATTTGGACAAAAGAAAGTCAATATGTCTTCGGCAACTTGGGCTGAGGGCCTTTAAGGAATACTATTGAGAAAAGTGTTACTTTTTTATGTTTACTGAAGTTTACTGAATATATAGCAGTTCCATGTGAATATGCTTAATGGCTGACCACCATGTTTACCAAAATGAAAACATTAAACTTATGATCTATTCAAGCCAGGTTTCATTCTGGGATCTGGCTTGTCTAACTATGATAATGTGGAAATTGTCAAAAAAATTCTGCTGTAAATTAAACTAGGATATAGGTACTTTTTAAGTTACAAATAAATGCTGTCTTATTAAATTCTTTCAGATGTACAACATTTGTATAATTTTTCTCGAGGGTTGCAGTGATTATAATTAAGGTTACTTTAAAAAGGATGCAACAAGCCAAATACTGCAAAATTTCTGTGGCTTTTAAATTTAATTTAAGCCATTTCAAGCCTGCAGAGAGAAAGTTTCAGTACATTATTCCAGCTGGATCATTCATCACAGGAAAACTAATTCGGCACACTGTAGCTCTGCAGTGAGACTTCTAGATAAGTAGCAAGATGTTGAAGGAATATGGAAGAGAAGTGCCAATTTTGTGATATGTAGATTAACTGGAATGATAAACTTCTGTTGTTCTGCAGTCAGTCCAAGCACATATATTGTGGCCATGTTAGCATATGAATATATTCAGAATGCTCACTGCTACAGATGCTAATGGTTCAATAAAGCAGATTCTTACTTTTTTTTCAGTAAGCTCTGGCTAGTGGTGAATGTATTGAAAAGCCAGCACCTCTAATTTGTGAGTGATGTATAACTGGAGTCAGTTTACTTTGCTATTTCTACAATAACTTGTTGACCTGTGGTTGGGTAATGGTTGATTGGTCTTACTGTTGATCCGTAAACAGTGGACATTTGTTCCATGGGTAGTATTGGATTGTGTCGTAGGCATCAAAACCTCACCATTATGGTTAAGTGGGGGTCAGACAGTTGTGAGGAACAGTCACTCGGTTTAATTTTCCCTAAATTGGCTGATTAAAGGCCAGGGGGAAATCTCTCAATGGCAAACTGACTCTCCAAGTTGGAAATCCAACACCAGGACCTCCAGCACTCAGAACCTGTCAGGCTGTCACTTCAGATAAGTGAGGGAGAGGGTGGGGTGTCCAAAGATAGAGGTCCCCTTTCTCCAACCTTTTCTATCAAACTTTAACTTAAAAGAAACTGTCCTCACAGCAGCTGAGTCACTATCGTGAAGGGGGATCCTATTGGCAGGTTGACCTATAACTGCAGCTGAAGCAGGGAGGCAGAAACGGCCTGTTAAGACTACCTAGAGTACTGTCTCCCTGGTCTACTGCTAAATGACTGACAAACAGTGTGGAGGCAATGCTTCTGGAAGCCAACTAGAAAATTTCAACGGGTATCTGACAATGGGCCTTAAGTCATAAATGAAGTCAACTGAAAACGCACTGAATGTCCTCCTGCTCCATCAAACCGCCCTTCTTTGGGGAAAATGGTATGGGGGTTCAATGAAGATGGCGAACAGACACGCCAATCAGCAACACAAATTTATATGCCTGCCAACCTCTGCGCCTACCTCACTGTGGGCTAAAAATTCAACCATAGTTTCAGCTTCATCCAAGGATGTACAATTTCTTGTGCCTCATCACCGTCCTAAGACGATCACAGCCTTGCAGCTGGAGGCTGTGAAGTTGTCTCAAGGTAACTCCTATGATTTCTCTTACTGATTTCACGGTAAAGAACACATTTAAATTTAATTAACTGCATGAGCACAATTCAGCTCCAGTAGATGATCAGTTTTGCTATTTCCATTCTGTTTTTATCATGGGCAGCATATCATGTTACGTTAATTATTAGTTGTTCCCATAAATTCTATGCCATTGAGGTGGTTAAATTGAAATATTGCAACTAATTTCTGCTTGATAGTTGGAACAGTTTTCTTGCACCGGGATGTGCCTTTGGAAAATTGTTTGAAATGTATTAACATGTAGAGGCAAGGATGTTTCTTTTTTATGCATCGATTGTGACTTCACAATAAATTAGCAGACAGATACAAACTTCTGCTACTCTTCAGTTCCAAACATATGTTGCTGAAGGCACCACAGTAGTCAATGAAAACAAAATTACCATTTTCACTCAATCTTCACTTCATATCTGACATTTTAAGGTTCCACTTACTTTTCTGGTTTACAGCTTCAAGTGGGAACATCAGACAAGATCTAGAGCAAGTCTATTTTTTCCCTTTGGTCAACAAACTATGTTAAAGCAGCCTCAGTATTGCTATGACAACGGCTTCTATTAATCTGTCACTGTCTCATTGTATTTTTGAGTCGAACATAAGTTGAAATAATATAACTTGAAATTTATACTGTTAAAACCAACATGAGGAGTAAAAGGTCATTAATCAGATGTTTCAATTAAGAGGGGCGTTATGGTGGTTCAATGCAACTGTCTCACAGGAACTGATTTATGTATCCCTACTGCTCCAAGTACGCCACAAAACAGGGTGATAGACAAGCAATTTAAAAAAAAATGTCCATTGGCCATTTGAGACCTGCTTCGATTTTCTAAGTGACCCTCAAAATACCAGTCAGTAGAAGCAGGAGCTTGTATGAATTTTACAATCAGGGTTCTATTTGTGCAGCATCTCAATGTAATATTCACGGGCCAATAAACTGGCAGGGTTTAGGAGTGAGAGAGAAGTGAATCAGATTTTTGCAATCCATACATGACTTCCTTCTGACCCAATATGTAAGAAGTCTCACAAGGCATGTACTGCTGTTTGTATCAGTAGCTGTCCATGTTAATACCAATGACATGAGCAGGAAGAGGGATAAAGTCCTGATGGCAGACTTTCGTGAGCTAGGAAAGAGTTTAAAAACCAGGACTTCAAAAGCAGTAATCTCATGATTACTCCCAGCCCCATGTGCCAGTGAAATTAGAAATTGTAAAACTGAATGAGTGAATATGGGCTTCAAATTCATAAGGCACTGGGACCAGTTCAAGGTAGATAGGACCTATATAAGAGGAACAGGTTGCATCTTAGCAGGACTAGGACAAATATTCTCTCAGGTAGATTTACTGCCACTGTGTGTGTGTGGGTGCAGGGTTTTAAACTAGATTGGCAAGGATACTCAGAGGGAGCAAAGATAGGAGGAAAGCAAAATGAGTAAAAGGAAGTAGAACTGTCATAAACAAAATTAAAAGACTGAGGGAGCAAAATTGAGCATTAAATAGGATCAGAATGCAGAATAAAGGCATATTATCTGAATGAATGCAGCATCTGCAACAAGGACAAAGATAAAAGGGCACAAATTGAGGTAAATGGATATGATTTAATTGCCATTAAAGACATATGACTACAGGGTGACCAAGGTTGGGAACTGAAAAACCAAGGATATGTGTAATTTATGAAGGAAAAGGAAAAAGAAAAGGAGGTGGGTTAGTACTTTCAATAAGGGTCAAAATCAGTGCGTTGGCTAGATCGAAGGATCAAGATGTGGAATCAGTTTGCGGAGGCTGAGGAACAGCCCTAAGATTGATGGGAATTGGTTATAAGAGATCAAACAGCTGTAGTTGTGTTGGGCATGGCATAACTCAGATTCTTAGAGATGTATGTCACATGTGTAACACTGTATAAATAGGTAATTTCAGTTTACACATAGACTGGGTAAACCAGATCTTCACTGAATTCCTGAAGTGTGTACAAGATGGATTTCTGGACTACTGAACTGAAGATCCAACTGGGGATTGATGTCACACCTCACTGGGGTAGTACAAATGGAAACCAATCGCTGTTATTCTTGGAGTCTCCTCAAATGTGAAACCTTCACTGAATCAGTGAATTGTACAATTCTATCTAACTGTCTAATTCATGTAAAATGCATACTGCATAATCAAAATGTTATTAACAAATAGCAGAAAGAAATATGAACTTAACTTACAATTCTATAACATACGCTCCACCCCTTTAAAAATTCCCATACATAGAGAAAAACAGACTCTCAAAGAAACAAGACAGGCTATTCAAGGTGAAAAGAAAAGGAAGAAAATATCAGAGTGAAATAGTTTGATAACACCAATCAGGACAGGAGTTGTGAGAAGCTTTTTTCAGTTCCTTCTGTTCCCTTTCAGTTTGTTGCTGATGAGATGGGGTTGATTGCACACCAATACTGTATTTCATTCACTGATTTAAAATTTTCCCCTTTCAGAATCTCGGAAGGTGATTTTCTCACTGTATCCTTTCAAAAGGCAATTTGCAGATGGTGCAGTTAACAAGGAAATGGTGAGTAAGAAAAATTGCACAGAGATTCTGTTATTTCTCTTCACAGAGGATCAACTGAAGGGAGAGACCGAGGTGCTTTCTCTTTGCAGTTGAGATGTTGCTGCTCCATTGTCCACATGAAGGATAGCAAACACTTATCAGGAACCAATCAAGTGGTTGTTATGCTGTTGAGTGTGTGTGCGCATATTGTTTTCCATTGACTTGTCCATAGTCCAAGAAATAAAAGTGGTCTTTACATAGGGATCTTTCATATTTAATATTGTATAATAAGAAAGGAGCAAGTAGCAATATTGCTGAAAAGGAATGTGATATAGTTCATTCTGAAACCACTGTCTTAAATCATAACGAGGAAAACTATGAAAATATGAGAGGCTTGTTGGCTATGCTGAATAGGAAGACAGGTGTCAGTTAGTATTTAAGGAAATGCAACGTAGTTACAACAGAAATACAATCCTCTCAGGCATAAACATCCAATGAGAGAGTGAATCAGCCCCAACCAACAAAAGAGGTTAAAGATTGTGTTAGTTGAAAGGAAGTAACTTATCAGGAGGCCAAGAATCAGTAAATCTGAGGGTTAAGAGCAATTTAGAATCTAGCAAAGAATGGCCAAGAAATTGATAAAGTAGATGGACTGTAAAATCTTCCTTAAGTAGGTGAAAGTGAGAAGTTTAGCTGGGGAAAATGTGGACATATTATAACTGGATAGTAAAATACTAGGGAAACTAAACAGTTATTTTGTGTCTGTCTTCATGGAGAAAGATACAGAAAATCTCCCAGAAATACTAGGCAGCAAAGAACTTCTGAAACTTAGAAACTGAAAGAAATTAGTTTCAGTGAAAATGTAGTTCTTGAATAGTTAACTGGATTGAACATTAACGAATATCTTGGTCTAGGTGAGCTGCATCTCAATGTTGGAAAGTGAACACATCAATTATCATCCTTAAACATTCTGGATTCCAACAAAACTCTTGCTGAGTAAAATGCAGCAAATAAAGTCCCACTATTAAAGGAGGGAGCAAGAGGGAGACTCCAGAACCACAGACCTGTTAGTTTGAAGTCAGCATTAGGGAAAATGTATGAATCTGTATATCAGAACATTTGGAAAATAATGGTAGAAGTTGGCAGAGTCAGCAAGGATTTGTGAACTTAATCTGCACTATCAACACCCTTTCTCCACCAGCACTCCACTGCCCCTCCCACTATTGCATAAATGCTGCCCCCTCCACACTTCACGTCAGCTCTGATGAAGAGTCATCTAGACTTGAACTGTTAGCATGCTCTCTCCACAAGGATGCTGCCTGACCTGCTGTGTTTTCCAGCATTTTTTGTTTTCAGTAGAGATTCCAGATCCTGCAGTAATTTTCTTCTACCGTAAATTAATAACAGGCCAGACTAGACATGCTGAATGGCATATTTCTGTTTCTATGTTCCTATGAACTACAGCAGGTAAGAGAACTGTGGGAGAAGATCTAGGAAATAATGACTTCAATATTAAAGCATTTGTGGTAATCATTGAGAGAAGTATAGATAGAGAAAAAAGAACAACCTAATACATTTGCTAAAATAGCCAGTCATGAGGGAATGCTAAAGAAAGATATTGACAGACAAAACAACACTAAATACTATTTAGAGCAGAAATCAATTGAGTACAGGGGGAATACATTCCACTGAAATTAAGAATACAGTGGACGTGGAAGGAGTGCCCCTTCAATATTCACTTCAACCACTCTACATGTTCTTACCAATCTTCTCATTTTTCTTTCTAGTTTAGTTCTTCAATTTCTTTCTAATTTTCTACTGGGTTTCTTGATGTTTACCTTATATTGCTGGCTTCTGTTTATGCTCTTCCCCAATGGAGGTAATGTTTTCCCTGTATCCACTCTGTAAAGTTAATACTTTTAAAGATTTCTAATAAGTCATTGGAACATAGGAACGTCAAAAGACAATATAATAAGCTTGTCAAATCTTTCCTGATATGTATACTCACGTATTTCTGGTATCATCCCTGTAAATCTCATCTGCACCCCATCTAATGCATCTATATCCTCTTTTTAAAGGTGACCAGAATGGCATGTGGTACAGCAAACAAGGGCTAAAACAATGATTGATGCAGGTTTAGTACAACTTAACTGTCACATTATCATTGTCTATACTTGCTTTACAGTGAATACTTCCGCTGCTAGTGATTGCATAATAGTGTGACCATGATGTCATTGGATCAGGTGTATACATAATGAGATGAGCAGCAGAGAATTATGAGATAACTCACTAGGGTTTATGGAGAAAAACCCTCCACGCAATTCCCTGAAATTGATACTTAACCAGTTTCTGATAAAACTGAGCTCTATCATCTTTAAACCTGCAGCTTCCTCGTAGTACGTACACATATTTCCGCTGGCTGATTGTCTGGTATCTGCTTGTTCCTAGGGTGACGGTCCTTATCCAAGGAAAATCGTTTCCATAGTGAATGATGTTGTTATGGCACTGTTATTGCTGATTGCTTTCTGTTGCTGAGAACCAGATGATCTTTGAGACTGATGCTGTTCTGTCCTATGTGCAGTTGATCAGATTACTTTTTTCTGTTTCACTGTTTGTAGTGAAGGACCAGCTTCTCTATCTATACATATACGTTGCCCATTGCAATGATATATCTGATTTTTCATGTTCACCTCATATTACTGAGGTGCAACTACCTTGTATAGGTTCCGAGTTGCCATGCAGGTTGACTTTTATTGAGAGCATTGAACATTTGTACTCTAACTGGCTCTCCAAGGCTCAGCTCTGGCATGACTTGATGGTTTCATCTCAAATTTGTTTCTCACACCTGTTACTACTTCTGGCTTCAATAGCTTTATCACAATTGGAAAAGTGCTTTTTCATGCAGCACAATGTTAGTTTGTGGACTTGATTACTTTCGATGCCTTCAGTGGCATTTTATTCCACTCAAGGTTTACTTTATCTGAGGCTGTGGGGGAGTTGATTGATTTCTTTATGATTCCTTTAGTGATTTGTTGCTTCAGCCTTTTTGTTTGAATAAGATAGATGATGTGTGGTGTTGAATTTCATAATCCTTTATGAAGTGTCTCAACTTTTTTATTCATGAATTGTGGGCCATTGTCACTCATCACAATGTTTGGAATGCCATAAAAACTGAAGTCTGCTTGCAGGCATTCTATAATCTCAATGGGAGTCATTGATGTCTGCTGCTCTAACTCCTAGTAGTGAGAATAGCAATCAATGGTGACAAGATAATCAGTTCCTTTGAGAATAAGGATGTTTACTCCAAGAATCATCCATGGTCTGTCTGGGATGTAGCGTGTCATTAGCAGCCCTTTAGCTTGGAATTTCTCCAATGGTTGGCATGGATAGTGACATATCTTCAAGGTTTTACTGAGATCATTTGGATCTAAGCAGAGTCTTAATTTTCAAGGATTTTTCCACTGTTACAGTGCTGCTAATGCAGACTGTAGGAATTTTCACTTTATTGATTACTCTTTTCTAGTTCTTTTCTGTCTTTTGAGCTGGACTTCAGGGAACTTAGTTCTGAGTTAGTCTCACACTTTCATCCACTTCAAGATGAGATTCATTCTGAGGACATTCCAGACCTGTAAAAACATCTTTTATGACTAGTCTACCGATAGATAGCTTAGTGGCTTGCAAAATTCTGCCAAGCCTTAAACTTGCTTCAGCTAAGATGAATAGATTTTACTTCATGTCTGCTGTCTGGAACTTCAGACCATCAATCTTCAAATTGGATGCTCGGCTTAATTTGTTCTTTGGGCACGAGAATCTTTCCATCAAATAGCCTCAACCTGACTTTTAAGGGAGTCATTTTTGGGTCACCATCGTGAGCCACTTTGCAAAGGTCTGCAAAAGCTTATGATGTTGCATGAAGCACTGGTGACCATCTGGCACTTCACATTCGCTTAATGCTCTCCTTCTGCAGTTATCATTCTAAGAGTCATAAACTATTTATCACCTTTAGTTTTTTTTAAAATTCATTTGTGGGATGTGGGTATCGCTGGCTGGCCAGAATTTATTACCCGTCCCTAGTTGCCCTTGAGAAGGTGGTGGTAAGCTGCCTTCTTGAACTGCTACAGCCCACCTGCTGTGGATTGATCCACAATACCATTAGGGAGGGAATTCCAGGATTTTGACCCAGTGACAGTGAAGGAATGGCGATATAGTTATGATGGTGAATGGCTTGGAGGGGAACTTGAAGGTGGTGGCGTTCCCATGTATCTGCTGCCCTTGTCCTTCTAGATGGAACTGGTCATGGGTTTGGAAGGTGCTGTCTGAGGGTCTTTGGTAAATTTCTGCAGTGCATCTTGTAGACAATACACACTGTTACTACTGAGTGTCAATGGTGGAGGGAGTGGATGCTTGTGGATATGGTGCCAATCAAGCGGGCTGCTTTGTCCTGGATGGTGTCAAGCTTCTTGAGTGTTGGGGCTACATTCATCCAGTGGGAAGTATTCCATCACACTCCTGACTTATGCCTTGTAGATGGTGGACAGGTTTCGGGGAGTCAGGAGGTGTGTTACTCGCCACAGTATTCCTAGCCTCTGACCTGCTCTTGTAGCCACTGTTAATGTGGTGAGTCCAGTTGAGTTTCTGGTCAATGATAACACTCAGGATGTTGATAGTGGGGAATTCAGTGCTGGTAACACTATTGAATGCCAAAGGGCAGTGGTTAGATTGTCTCTTATTGGTGATGGTCATAGCCTGGCATTTGTTTGGTGTGAATGTTACTTGCTGCTTGTCAGCTCAAGGCTGGATATTGTCCAGATCTTGTTGCATGTGAACGTGGACTGCTTCAGTATCAGAGGAGTCATGAATGAACGGTGCTGAACATTGTGCAATCATCAGCAAACATCCCCACTTCTGACCTTATGATGGAGGGAAGGTCATTGATGAAGCAGCTGAAGATGTTTGGGCCTAGGACACTACCCTGAGGAGCTCCTGCAGAGATGTCCTGGAGCTGCGATGACTGACCTCCA